TCATCGACGTCTCTCTCCCCTTGCCTGATTCCGCGCTCGCTTGCGCTCTGCCGCTCTCCACTTCCCCCCCCCCTCCCCTTCACCCCGCCGATTTCTTTTTTGCAGCAAGACGCTGGCCGCCGTTGCAGCTGTGTTCTCTCCGATCAGGTGTTTCGGTCTGGTTATTTTAATTAATTGCGCACCACCGACTCCTTCTCGTCTACCAATTTCTGAACTCTCGCTTTATCTAATCAGTAGGCGAGACATTTCGTTTCGTAGCGTGAGACCATGCGGTGACTCAAGCCTTCTGTTTCGAACTTGCTTACTGGGCACAAATTGTCGTTTCCATAGCCGCCAAAAGAGAGGGCCGACGCAGCCACAGTGTATAACATTGAATTACCTGGATTTTTAATCATGGTGTCCCCACGTTTGCGCAACTGGATTTAGAGCCTATCAAGAGTAGACAAGGGCAGCCCAGATTAAAAGGGAATATGGAACTCGCAGAATAGGTTGAGAAGAGGCATTATAGAATCTAGACATTGTTTCATGATATAGTGTCACAAAAACTGCCATTGAGTCCAAACTGTCAACATCTACAAACCCACTTTAGATCGACTTGCCAAGTGCCCTTCAAAGCTCCGATAGAGGAGGTGTCACGGGCCATAACAACACCTCCTAGAGGGGTCATCTCTGCATAATTTACCGTTGTTAGTCTGCCATGCCCCCAACCTGAACTAGCGACCTCTTACATTTGAACTCAATCCATTTTTCATCGATTAATTATAAGGACGCTGCAACCTGCGAAGGATCTACATACATTGAGGATCCAGGGAAAATCAAAGTGTCCGGTATTTCGTCATGGCGCCTAGGTTATCCTCGCTCCCAGGACATTCTAATTATTCTTCATTACAGTCCATGGAGCGTTAGCCTGTGACTCATCTGGTGAAGCGATAAACCCGATGGCCAACTGGAGCCGAGATCACATGTCAAGCTCTGCCGGCCTGGAGTTAAAGTCAACCTAGTTACTAAAGTCACAGTTACTGGAAACAACCATTTCGAACTCCTTTTTCTGTGCCACTAATAAGTCTCGCTTGCTGCTTTTCGTCTCCATGTGACCACTCCGGGGTCCCAGACCAGAACTCTGAGGCAAAACAGAACAGTGCATGACTTATTTACTTCACTTTGAGCTTCCCGCAATCTTAGCGAAGCGAATTTGTGCAGAACTTACTACACTCTCTCTTCATCTCACCTACTTTATTCCGATAGCCTGACAGTGCCATGATGACCGGAGGTGGGCGCGAGGACCAACACCAGCAAATAAAAGCTCAAACAAACGTACTTGTCCTGTATATTTGGTCCGCAAAATCACCGGACCAAATTTTCCCAGTGTCTCTCTACCTACCGGTCTCCGTCAAGATAGATCGGGTAACTACTTGCATAGAAATCGGCGCACGTCGATTTGCTTTGCTTCTCTAAACAAACGAGCTCCTAACTAGGTGCTGTAATCATGAGTAGTCGACTACGCATCAGGTCACAAAGTGGCTCACCAGACAACGGAAGCTGTAAGCTGTCGGCCGCCGTGAAGTTCGCCCAAGTTTCAAAATTGCCACCTTAAGGTCGTCGCCTGTCGAGTCCAGGCTGATGAAAGATGATACTGCGAACACTTTCGCCCATAGATCAGTAGAACGTATGCTCTAGCTCTCTCATTCCACGAGTAAGGAGAGCTCAGCAGGGAGGGGAGTGAGTAAAGAGGTGCACGCAGTCAACTGACCGTTGGTCACGATAGGCGTGGAGCTTGTACCAGGTTCTTCTAAGGTCCTAAGGAGTAGGTAAAAAGACTGAGACTTAAGCATTGGATTGGGAACCTCCCTCATCTGGTGTTTCGGATTCATGCTCAGGCCGACCATCAGATACAGCAACGGAAAATGCGACTGACTCAAATGCGGCGCAGTTGTTGTAAAATGCTGTTTCAACTCATCTTCACATGTTCTAGAGTCCTGTTCCCGCATCTATTGGGCATGTTTATGTTTGGTGCGATGGTGGCCTAATCTCCCGCGTTCGGGCAGCCAATGAGCGCGATTTCATCGCCGGTGGTGGTGCCTGTCATGGCAATTTTGGCCGCTAATGCTATTATTAGGGGCATTGTCCACGCGTGCGCTGCCTTCATGTCCAATTACTCAGTTCAGAAGAGGCTTAGCATTGCATGAGGAGGATATAATTACGTCTGCGGATAAACTGTAGGCCAATGAACCCTGATTCAAGCAGCTCACGGCCCACAGGGCTGTCACTTTATGTGAGGATTTCAATCTCATCGAAGGGAAGTGTCTGTGTTCCGCTAAGTGAGCTACGATTTGACAGTTGTCATCATTCCTCATCATTACTGATGTATGTTAGGACGTCTGTCTCCGGAGTAATACCTGTGTTTCTCCGAGTTGTTTGCTTCGCCCGCAGCACCACCAGACTCAGTAAACTACCCGGACGTTCGGTCTCACCATTTGGTTCCTAGAGGTTGAGTTGGTCTGTGTGCTACCCCGACTCCAGTTGGCGTATGAAGACAGTTGATGGATTCTGAGGCGTCTATGACGTGCGGAAGCACTCACAAAATTTACAACCAATGCGGTTCGTTCTCTCGTCCCGCCTATGCATGCACCGGCTAATGCTCAGAGCACCCGTCTCGGGTATTGTAATTCGCAAACTTTGTTCTGCGGCCCAATTCTGTGCGTCTCTACGTAATGTCGTTTGGGGCCGATTGGTTCACGACGCTTGGAGCTGAGAGTGTGGATTGCATTTGTTACTTTCCTAAAGACTATAGTTTTTGGACGATCAAAATCTCCACAACGGACGTAGGCACAAAGTTGGACCGTCTGGTTGTTGTCTGCGTTTCTAATCGCAAATTCTGTGTCGGGAAAGATGGTGTCGAAGTGTCCTTTGCGATTTAACACGTGATGTCGTTCGATGATGCAAAAGGTATTATCCATGTATTGAGTTCAGCACCCCGGTCTGTCCTGTCAGACGGCTAGTGACTCCAGCCGTTGCAAGACTGTCGAGAAATCAGTTAGCTGAAAAGCTGGTGATGTTTGCTGATGGGCTTTCGAGGCGATTCTCATTCTTTCCTATTCGATTTGCAGGTGCAATTTTATAATCAGAACACTCAGATTTTTGAAAAGTCAATTTGGCAAGCACGTGCTTTCGGTTACTCTTCATCAGGCGATAACGGTTACATAGAAGTTTAAATTATGCGAATTTGCTGGGCTTTTAAGTGATTCAGGGGCTATTAACACCCATCTTTCCCACGTCAATCATCGTTCCCACGCCACTCGCATGACGAGGTGTGCTATGGCGTGGTCGGCGTGTCGTGGTCATTGGGTCAAGGGGGCGAGGGAGAGGGGGACATAGGCTGTGAGTAATGTTTGTACGTCGGGTACGTTGTGCACACCACTGCCTCCTCCTGCTTTGGATCCGGCATTCGCACTAGTCGATAAAGCTTATGCATCCGCGTCAGTAGCCAATGGCCGGTTTCTCCGACTTATTTGCACATACCAGAGCAGCACTGAAGTCGGTAGACAACGGTGGACATCTCCCACTTAATGATAGGGTGTTTCTGTCGCATCGCGTGTCCGAGGATTGTTTAGACAGGCCTGTGGCAATTCCTGTTTTAGTGGGGAGAGGGATCTATTCGCATCTTCGGAGACCCCCTTCACATCCAGTGCTTCGTCATGGTTTCGAATGACTAGACGCTTCAACCCGCCTCCTTTGTGGCATTCTACTTCAACGAACGTTCGCGGGCGGCCGTTGCCTCTGGAGATTTCTTGAAGAAGCTGCATCTCGTCCTGCTTGGCGGCCGGCGTGCTGCAATGAGTTTTCATCTGCCGGTATAGCGTGCGTTTCAGCCGGTGGCTATTGTAACCGAACATTAGCAGCGCGTCAGTTGACTTTCCGTAGACTGATGACTCCAGTTTTTTTCCTGGATGGCGACAGACGATAACATTCAGAGACGGAAATCCGTGCTCCACTTCCTCTTCCGTCGTGAATAGTACATCGAGGAGGATCAAGTCCAGTCGTTCGTCGTAGTTGTTAATCCTATCCCTGTTAATTAGGACGAAGGTATTGTCAAAGTAGCGTGCCCAAAACTCGGATTTGTTTTCCTCAAATAGCCACCCCTCGAGTTTTATTCAGAACCGCCTCGGCAACGAGTTCAAAGATTGGTGAACCCACGAATGGAAGAGAATATGCGCAGCCCAGGTTCTTGTTTAAAAAACGGCGAAGGCACGATCACTGTGACAGTAGGTTTATTTGCCTGAGATTTCGAACTCGAACTAGAGTTCATCATCAGAGACTACTCGAGTGCAGCAAATTGTGAAAATTTATATCGTTAATCCTTGCGGGGGGAGGGGGGAGGGGGAGTACGTCCATGGCTAGGTAGGGTTTGTGCCGCCTGGTCCACGATGTTCTCCCGGCGTGGTGACGCCGTTTGCACTTCGCGACGGTGTGAGCTGCGCCACCTGGCTGCGTGCGCGGAGCGCGTGATAACACGCAGGCAAATCGATGTGTCTGTTGATGGAGTTGGTGTCCGACGCCTCCAACAGCTCTCGCCCTGTCTTGTTGCCGGCTCGCGTCAATATCCGCGTGTTGACGAAGTCGAACTCATGCCCTTCCTCCAGCGTGAGTGGCGATTTGAGATAGTGGGTCGCCTCTCCGAACGGCCCGTTTGTGCTTAAGTATTCGTGAGCTCAGACGTCGTCCTGTCTGGCCTGTGTAGTGGCAAGGACAGTTTTGGCACAGGAGTCGATAGACTACGCCCGACTGTTCACCTGCGTCCAGCCGATCCTCCATTTTCATGATCCTGCTACGCATGGTAGTCGCCGGATGATGAGCGATGCCCACGCCTAGCTCTGACGCAATGCGTTCTGTAGCCTCGGACACATTCTTTATGTACGGTAGGGAGTACCAAATTATTGGTGTCTCTCTTCGGTTTGTCCGGCGTTGGTGCGCGCGTATGCAGCGACTGATAAAACTATTTGGGTAGCCGTTCTTTGTTAATTGGTCCCGGAGATGCCGTAGTTCATGCATCCTTCCTTCGAGCTCGCTACAGTGCGTTTTTACCCGGTCGAAAAGCGCCCTCACAGAGCCCCGTTTGTGCACCAATGGGTGGTTGCTATGATAGTTGAGGACCTGGGTTGTATTGGTCGCCTATCTGTACACTGTAGTGCTGAGTTCACCGTCAGGTGTGCGCGTGACGTGCACGTCCAGGAAGGGTAGTTTTTCGTCCTCCTCGTCTTCTCTTGTAAACTGAATGTCGGGGAATATGCTGTTAAGTAAGTCTTGAAAACTCGATAGCTTGTCCTTGGTGAACCCATCGGTGTGCTCCTAATTTGCTCATACTTAATCCCCTCGAGGGAGAAAAATGCCTTTAGGCAGTGTTTCTTGAGTTCTCTGGGGCCTGAACTGCAGGCTTGCTATCGTCCTCACCGTAATGTTAACTTAGCAGGTCACTGAGTGTTTCGACCACAAGGGCCTGCGGTATTGGCCTAAAGAGTAAGGTGACATCTGATGGCACCATCCCCTCATTCGGCTCGATTTCGACCGCATTTATTTTGTCGCAAAATTGCTCTACTGGCTGCATCGTCGTTAGTGAACCACTGGTAGAAATACACAATGTTTTTGCAAGCTCGCATGTCGGTGTGCCTCGAAGTGAGACGATTGGCCGGAGGGAGGCATCTGGCTTTTACATCCACCCTTCTTTACTTTTCTTTTCTTTTCCTTCTTTACTTTTACTTCATCCTTCTGTAGTTGAGCCAGAGTTCTGTTCGCTTCCACCAATAATGACTTTAGACTGGCAGCGTCGCTGACTGTGTAGGACTCTCGATTGTTGAGGAGCATGAAGGCTTTGTTTCGGCAGACTACGCTATCGAGGATAATGGCAGGATAATTATTTCTGTGCCCGCTTTTAACTCCAATAGAGCTTTTTATTGTTTTCTTCTCAGCAAATGGGCTTTTTAGTGATAAATGGAGTGAAATGGGATTGCCTATGTGCTCCTATCTTCTTCATTCTCATGTTCTTCATCGCGTTGATGGACGCATATCGCCCGGAGAGGTCAGACAACAAAATCGACCACCGATCTCAGAGAAAACTGCTCAATGTGGGAGGTATGAAGGCATCTCCGAGTGTTACCGGCGGCAACATCTACGACTTCTTGTTTGCGAATAACCGCAAGCCAAAGGCCGCTAAAGAAGCGGACGTTATCGAGAATGCGCACCCATATCAACTCTTGACATTCGGTGTGTGATAGCAGACCCACTTGCAGACTCACGTAGCAGCCGTTGGGTCCCTGCCACCCCCTCGCCGATATTTGCCGTTCACGTTCCTCGTCAAGCGTTTTTTGTGGACCAAGGGGCGTGGCGGTACGCCTAGGTGCAGCTTTACATCATCCCGGCAACCTGCAGCCTCTCCCGCCTTTGGTCTTTTTGAGTTGGTCATGGCACTGGGGACAGGAGGAGGAAAAGAGATAATGGTAGATGCCTCGCAATTCTATCATCACTATGAGCTGATTCACGCGCAAATCACCGTGCCTGCTCCCACCCTGTTGTAGAGTACATGGTGTACATGATCGAAATCGACACTCGAACTCTCGATGAAAGCTAAGCAAAATCCCGATCTTTTCACCCCATCTTTCCCCGGAGAGTACTGGAGGTGAAGTGATAAGAAAGGCTGCCAGATATCGAGGTGCCGAAAAGAACGGGTATCTTTCATATCGACGCCATACTGAGGCAGATGCCATAGCTATGGAGCAGCCACGTCGTGAGGGTGGATGAAAAGCGCCTGCCCAAGCAACTATTCACTTACTCGGGAATCACTTCCTACCTTCTGCGAGGGTGATTGACGTTTTGTTGACGTAACAAGTAGCCTGTTCAAATGGTAGTGGCATTCGCCGCTCTGCCCTATTTTCATAAATGGAGAGACGGACCCTCGTCTTTGTGGCGAATTTTCATTCCGGAATCCTATTTTCAGTAAAACAACTCGGATACGAGGCGTTACTTTCATTGGTTGTTTTGCAAACAACGAGTGAATAAGATCTTTACAGCCGATATATATGTCAGCGTAGCTTCAGATCTCTCTCATTTGTACTTTTATGCAACCAAACTATAAAATATTGGTGCATCTGCTTTTCGCACGTGTTTTACACTCGAGCCAGGAACCAGATTCAACGGAGTGGTTTTCCGCTAAACAGGACTACGACCCCCCCGGACCTAGCCAGCACTCCAGTTGACCTCCTAACTTGTACGTCCCTCACTTTTGGCCTTTATTCTTTCTTACACGAGCTTATTTCTAAGGCCACGACGCAATCATGCTATATTCGAGGCAGATACTGTTTCTGACTCTACGGGCGTTTAGGGTAAAAAAGTCGTTGATAGCAAATATGTTTTTCGTAAATATGCCTAGAGATTTTCTGTTTGTGGATGACGTCAGAGCTGAGGAAAGTCGTGGTGCATACGAAGTAATCCATAAAGCTTACGTGAACTGTAAGCATCGAGAAAGAATCCGGATATATTATTTATGCATTACAGAAGAGCCCACCTATCAACAAATAGACAGCAATGTTTGAGAGTAGGGTGAGAATGGTGCAAATTTCACTTAGCAGATTTGATGAAAATGAGCTTAGGCAGATTAACTTTTAAATAAATAAGTATGCTAGGGAGGGTAAATGTGTGGAAAAAGGGTTCGGGTGAGTTGTAAAGTTAAGCAGCGCCTCTTGATCGTACGCGGAAATATGGACCTCATGTGCTACGGGTGGCTTTGCGTACATAGGGTACACGCTCCCATGCAACAACGTGAATCCTAACCCCCTAACCCTACCGTCCCCTCGAATTTAGGTCAAGGCCACCTGTCATACTGAGGGGTCTACATTTCCGTGCCCCATCGCACCTGTTTATAACAACCTTCCAAATCAGCTTGTAGGTTGCACTCTGTCTGTGGGATGATGTATCATCTTCAGTCGGATGCTTGTCCTGGTGATTATACCCTGAAGATACTCATGCCAGCCTTCCGACGAAAAATAAGTGTTAGAGAAGTCAAGGGAATGTCCCCCGTTGTGAACAACGAAGTTGTTGGTAAAATAAAACTCCAGCTGAGTCCGTTGTTTAACAACACTTTTAGTTCGTAATACGTGTCCTCTACGTTAAGAATACTTTTTACTGAACATACGATATACTTTCCGGAGTAGAGTGTGGAATGATCAGCATAACTGATTCTGTATGTTCGGCCGTAGTTGAATAGTGTCGAGTATCGTTCCACCATTCACAGAGAACGGGTACTAGGGAGAAGTTCAAACATGTATTTCCACTGGTCTTCTGTGACTTCATAGAGCACAGCAGGGAATTCAGCTCTTCAGTGGGTCAAATGAAGAGGGCATCTGCGCCCTTCCTCGCCTCCGGTCTTCTTGACTCCGTCTTTACACCGGGTCCAGGTGGGGAGTGGGGAATAGAGAGTGTGGTAGATGCTGCGCATGTCTACCATCACTATAACCTAATGTTCGCTCAAGTCACCGCGCCCGCTGCACCTATCTGGGTAGCACACGGTGGACATCCTCGGAATTGACGGTCGAACTGATGGGTACACTAGTGATCCCCATATGTTTGCCGGTATTCACTCCGGTTTTACCAGTGAAGCCTAATCCTTTTGAAATTATGGAACGAACATTGTATTAAGGCTTTAATTCCAGACTGATAAAGTCCAGTCCTAAGTCAAGTAAAATTCAGAATTGATCGCAGAGAAACCATAGTCTGTGCATCTGTCATACGAAGCGCACCAAACATATCAAACATAAATTTATTTTGCCATCATCTGTGCACAGATGCTAGGTAAAGTTAGAGCTATAATCTACAGGATTGAGTGAGGGTACCGATGGTGTAGCGGCGTCGAGAAACAGAATAAAGAAAGGTGGCCTGACCATTCGAACATCAACTGACAGCGAAACGAGCACACCCAATATTCCAGAGAGTCGTGTCTGTGAGGGAGAAAGAGTTCAATTTCGAAATGCGAAATTCTCAACTGAGGCAAAAATACTAACCTCGGTGGTCCCTGTGGCTGCCTGTTCCTGACTTTCAGTTTCGGTCAGTCGGACTGTCGATCTTCATCCGTTCTGCCAGACCTTGTTTCACTATCTCAAACAGGCTGGTCGCGCTTGTGCTCCGGCCACAGAAACCCAACAACATCGTGGCAAACGTAGAGACCAGGAACTAATATAAGGAGTGTAAAATCTTGACTGTACCCACCGTACGTTAGTCCAGTTATCGACTCGTGCACCTAGTTTGAATGTTAAAAACGGAATGGCATCAAAAGACGGATGGTCAGTTTCGTTTGCCTTCTAATAGCCCAATCACGGGGAAACCAGTAAAAAGTACGAGGAAGACTTGAGTGACCATTTCTAGCAAGTAAACTGCAAGCTAAAGGCGACTGACTTTATACGCCTAACTATAACTGTACCATCTCCGACGGTTCCCCGTATAATTGTACTGTCTGCCGCTACGCGAGTGCTTTCGAGGTTTTCAACAGAAACCCAAGGTAAAAGGAACATGCATGTCCCCCCCCCCTACAATCAGACCAGTACAATGCCACTACTATGAGAAACCAGCGGTTCTTCTATCCCTGCGATAGATGCAGTTGAACAGAAAACCAAATTCGTCAAAAGGCCAGACAAACGAGTCGAATTTAAAATCGAACAGAGAGGTTGTTCGCATGCTAACTTCCACGAAATTCAACGACGTTGACTTTCGTTTCCACCGCCCTGTCTGAAGGCAGGTACTGGTACACCGATTGACTCATTATCATTTTTTCTCCAGTTACCCATCCCATATTCTGCAAAGTGCGTCATACTTATTCTTCCGAGAGGGTTCGGAATCAGAAGGGTCAGAAACTCTGCCAAGTCTTCTTTCGAGCCAAACTTAATGCTCCTTTTCCTTCCGATAGCGCACATGACGCCAGTTTGCAGCCGGAACAGGCAGCAATATACTGACTATGCATCAAGTGCGTCTGCTTTGTGGCAGCAAATGCCTCCTTCACTTCTCTGCGATGCGTCCAGGTGACTTATAGTCCTTTCGGGTTGTCTTACCTTTGACCGGTGGACTACTAAAATGATAATAGCTTTATGTTTGCATGTAGTACATATCTGTGGTGGCAATAGATCAGCAATGCCTGCCTGGTTAAAGAATTTGAATACCTTCCCGGTTATTCTGTAGCTATTGAATTTTAAATTTAAGACGTCTATCAGGATCTGCATGCTCCATGAAGCCGCTCTACTTCGTTGCAACACAAATCGCTGTGGTCTCCTTTGGTTCCAGTACTGTTTCCGATAAGAGGCGAGTAAGTTGGTGATTTTGGCTAGGGGAAAGCCCTATTTAATAAATGTCTTACTAATTCAAAGTAAAAGATCCGACTGTTGACTCGAAACTGGGCCTGTAAATCCTCCAACCCGATGGAATCGACCCTTATTTCGCAGTCTGTCTTTGCAGGGCTAGTTATGACCCCCCTTTGGCTCGGAGTTTGATACATAAAACATCACTGAGGGCAATCATAACAGGTATGCAGTGCATTACCTCTGGTGCTGTGAACTGTCTGATCTAAACCCTCTGTCTGTCAAAAGATGTCACGCTGCATTTCGTAGAGTTACAAATTTACGTGGGTAAATTCACAACTGCAATTTGACAGCCGGCTGGTGTGGGAAAACGAACGTCGAGAATCCTCGTTAAACTCACCATAAACTCCCAAGAGGAACATTCATCAGTCTTGTCACCGACACATCTACTTTATTTAGCCTGACTGCTGATGCCGCGCACAAAATCCCGACCTGATGTTGCATGCGATCAGCTGCATCAAGTCACAGATTACACCCATCTACCAGATAAGCTGTCCTGTAATGACTTGACCGTCCCTATCATAGTGGGGACTACCCAGCCGTCCTAATAGATGTTGGACATCATCTAAAGCTGCTAGAGTAAGCCACCGTCGTTATACTCCCAAGTGCGTTTTGAGATGGGTAAGACCAGATGGAAAACGTGCTTGCCACATGACTTCTCTAGCATCGAGCTCACGTTCTTTTTCAGCGCAAACAGTGGTTTGATGGTGAAACAAACTCTGGATGACTGCTGATGCGACAGGGTGTAATGTCCGACCTGGTATAAAACCTCAAACCACGCACACCAGAACATCGTTTGCTTGCCTCTTATTAGCCGAAGCAGACTTCCCAAAAAATCATTGGTGCTGAACATTTACGCCTGTTATCCTCGTCTGAGTTCATTAGCTAAGCAAGGAGTTAACGGGAGGTGTGCCTCCAACACTTGAGAGCTGGCGTCAAAAAGGAACTTTCCATTATTCCTTCGTGAATGTACTTAAGTAACCAAGCCCTGCGGCCATCCATTCTCGGCACTGAAGTAAACAGAAATATTGCTATATTCATTTTTTCTCCCAGACAAACAGCTTATTGCAAAAGGCTAAGTATTATTAATCAGTCATACCTGTTGGTTTGCTTCCCTCAATTCTGTCCTGAGGAAATCCCCCTCGAAGTTTCTCTCCGTATGCGGACTGCTGACGTAATTGTTAGCTGCGACGCTAACCTAGTGTTTTTAATAGACTATTTTGATGATAACTTTAACCCTCCAGAGTTATTCATTTTCAGCCTTTAAGGTCTTTATTCAATTCGAAAGACTAGGCAAGTAGATAAGTAGGTTAGAATAGGCAGAAAGAACTGTTCCAAAGGCGGCCGACGTAAGAGAGGCAGTACTGATCATTTTATCCAATGAAACTATGAAGACAAATCGAAAATCGAATAAGGTACATCGGCACGAAAAGTAGCAAGTTCTGTCCGGTAATGCGAAAGATGCAATACTCATCCCCGACCTCAGAAAAGTAGATTTTGCCAAAAGAAAAAGGCCTGATCCGCTGGTATTTTCTCGGCAGACGTGTTTTCTGTGTGCGTTCTATTCTTCAGAAATTCCTAAAATAGATAAACGTGTTTAAACGGATCAATTTCTTTTGTAGGTCCAAAAAGGTGACATGCATTTTCGAGTTTTAGTTAAAGAATCCACATTCTCAATTGTCAATGTAAACAGTAAAGCATATCTGACTAAAATGAGGCAGGTGCCGTTTGTGATCTGCCAATATGATGAATCCGAAATATTGTCTGTGGGAGACAGTTCAGCGTGGTTGAAAATTGTCTCACTGACACAAAGAACAACGCTGTTAGAACTGTCTGCGTGTCACCGTGAAGTCACCTGTAAATTCTCATAAATCTCCTTAGGAGAATTTTGTCAGGCCAAACCTAGATGTGATAGGATTACCCCTATTGACAGTCGACTTTCATGCACTACTCTAATGAGTTTCATGTCCTAGAAAGTTTTCAGTCAGGTATGGTTATGTAGTCCAGCCTGAAGTAAATAAACCCCAGCCACCTGTAATAGGGGACCGGTGGTAATAGAGGTTTTTACAGGTTGGGCGGGGAACGCACAGACGACGACGTCAAATAATTGTATGCAAAAGAAAAGCTATTGGGAATGCATGGTTGTGCTTTGAGTGGTTGCTGACGAGTTGTTCTAACCCCTCCCCTAACCCCTAACTCTAACCCCTGGTCATAACCGCTGGTCCTAACCCCAAGCCCAACAGTATTGTGTCCATCGGGTGGGGCTACTTAACCACATCTTACTAAGTTTCCATACAAATTGAGATACCTGCGTTTATATCTTATGGGCGTAACTCTTCAGCCACACCTAAACTGCTGTGCAATCCAAGGTCGTCTCAGATGGCAACAATCAAGGCTTCACAGATAAGGCTCCAAGTTCCACAAGCTCAATTTTCGTTGTGCCCGTTCGACGACGACAAATAATTCACTGTCTTGTGAATATCAGTTGAAATGTTGACCTACTTTTTGCCATAAAACAATCTGTTTGGGTTCTAAAGCTTGAACTCCAATATAAAACGCAATCATCCACATTCCACTTCGCAGCCAGGATAGATCGTTAAATGTGAATTCGCAGAACATTTTTAGCTTCCATTCCAGCCAAACCACTTACTGATTATTATTAAAATCGGGAACGCAAATACTCCCGGTCATGTTAAACTAAAGTGTTTCTTCCGCCTTGAATTTCCCCATCACCTGTGTAATTATCCGACTTACTTTTACGTTTATCTCGAAGCCTCGGTGAAAGTTTGGAGAATTTAAACCTATACAGGCATTGACGGAGGTTCATTTTAATGGCACATAAATGGTTACCTAAACAAAATAAGTAGAGATAGTTCAATCTGTAATATCACGTCATTTGTGAAAGGCTCCACCGGGTGCCTAATAACGCCAGCTCAAACTCCAGTCGAAACAAACAAGAAGCAATACAAAGACGATGAATGCGAGATCACTGGGACAGTACGCATATTAGTCTGATCTCTCGACCTCGTAATCGAGGTCATCGCCGGAGTCTGTCCCACGTACTGTCCCAGTGATTTCGCGTTCATCTTCTTTGCAACAAGAACCTGAGACTTGCATATTCGCTTCCATTCGTGAAGAGGCAATATATTGAATGAAGATTATAAAAACTTCCTAAGTATGCTTT